CTGAGGGGAGCGGGAATGGCCGAGAGGAGCGGGATCCACTGAGGGGAGCGGGAATGGCCGAGAGGAGTGGGATCCACTGAGGGGAGCGGGAATGGCCGAGAGGAGTGGGAACCACTGAGGGGAGCAGGAATGGCTGAGAGGAGCGGGATCCCCGGAAGGGAGCGGGAATGGCTGACAGGAGCGGGATCCACTGAGGGGAGCGGGAATGGCCGAGAGGAGCGGGATCCCCTGAGGGGAGCGGGATCCACTGAGGGGAGCAGGATCCCCTGAGGGGAGAGAGGAACGGCCGAGAGGAGCGGGATCCCCTGAGAGGAGCGGGATCACCTGAGGGGAGCGGGAATGGCTGAGGGGAGCGGGATCCCTTGAGGGGGGCGGGATCCACTGAGGGGAGCGGGACTCGCCGGATTATCGATTTCACACCGACAGAGCTGCGGGTGCTGGCGGACCCGGCCTGGAAACGACCCGGTTTGGAGCTGGGAGATTGCTGTAGGTGGAGGGAAATAAACGATTTCACTATAATCGCTTTAAATCCGCTTGGGGAATTATTTCACGTGTCTTTATGGCTGAGATGAACCCTTTGACTCCCTTCCCTKTGTCTGCTCCAAGCTGTAAGAAATCACTTAAAATAGGAAAGTCACCGAAGATCCCGGCTTGGTTGGCACGGAGAAAGGATCCCTAGAAATGAACCCTGGATTGGGCATTTGCTGATCTTGCAAYGCAGAACATAACTCAGCTCTTCACTCAAATGTTACATCATTTCAACCAACCTGTGCCTAAACTATAAAGGAGGATCACGTAATGTACAATGGAAATTACACCTAATGGCAAGAGTGTAATGTATATTTTGATATAAGAAGATAGTGGTGTTTGTGCAGTGACACACAAGCCATCAGGAGTTACCTGCTGTGGGGTTTCTTGTTTGTTAGCTCTTACATTAAAGAAATAAAGAGCAATAATTTGGGTGTGATCTTGGACCTGCATTTCCGACAGACCCAATTGAGTCTCTGATCTCACATTCCCCAAATCTTGGATAAATTCTGTCTGATCTGGGTTAATTCGAAGCCAGGGTCCAGGATTTCCTGACATTAAGCCCAAAGCTGGTACTTTTAACAAAAAATATAAATAAGRATGACTAATATTTGTCAAACACTGTCAGAGTACAGCGCCATTAAATATCAAATTACTTACTCTCTTGGCTACAGAATAGTTCCTTCTGTAACTCAAAACTCCTGGAAGTTTCTGAACACAAAAAGTTGTCTGCATTCCCACCTACACATTTCTTTTTTGGCTTTTTACCTCCACTTTTTTTCTTTACAAGCTGCTTGCTAGTGTCACATCTCACTCCTCCTTGTTTGGACAAGTCCCGGTGCTGTTTTGGGATAGATCCCATCTGGAACAAAGCTCAGCCCTGAGTGTAAAACCTGTTCTGCAACGTTCTCTTTCTTAGTGAAACAAGTATTCTGTTGTAGAGCATTGATGTAATCCCTGGCGGAGTTCTGGAGCCAGGAGAGCRAGGAAAGGAACAGAACCAGCTTTCAGGAGGAGCCTTGTGATGCCAGCCCAGGTTCAAATTCCCCCAGTGAATCAGCACTGATCTTTCAAAATTAAGTCTTCCACTTCCACACTTCCATAAGGTGATGCTCCAACGTCCCCATGTGCTAATTCTCACACCACCAAAGACGTAAGGGAAATTAAAAGCAAACAAAGCCCTGCTCCATTTGGTCTGGTCTGAATTACAGTCAGATCCTGGTCTTAACCATCCAATTAAGCATTGCTGAGTAAATAACTCGCATTACCGTCAGYGCTACTCCCACAACTTTTCATTTCAAACAACTTTGTGCATCAGTTTCTCATGGAGCAATCCTCTGCCCGGGGCTGTGSCTGCTGGAGAGCAGAGGAGTGCTGCCCAGGCTGCCAGGGAAAGTCCAACAGATGTAAAAAATGTGCTGTGAGGCAGCCTGTGAAGAGGGGTGAAGGTGAGAACTTACTGGCTGCCTCTGGTTTCACTGAATAACAACACAGAGCCACTTTTCTAAATAATTTTCTCTCCTATGCTGTAGCAGAGGCTGTGCTAAAGCAACATTATATTTGGTTTTTAGACAAATCTTTCCTGGTTCAAATGCCAGTGGCAAGCAAGCTGGCAGGGAGTGGCTTCAGTGACAATGGCCACCATGTGTCTGTCGTGCTGGGACATCAAGTTTGATACTGGTAAATACTGGCACAATCTGAGCGTGGATGGGGCAAGATGAGCCCAGCRAGGGGCTTTGATTCACCATTTGTCACCACATGGACTTGCAGATGGGATTTCCTAAATTTTAGCAGCCTGATTTCTCTCCTTTTTAAACCAAGAAATGCTGATGCATGACTTTGAGGCAGATTCTGGCTCAAAACGTCCAGAGACAATTGGATGAAAGTTAAGAGGCTACCAAACCTTGGAAGTCCTGGATGAATATGTCCACTCCAAATACTCTCCTGTGGACTGTGACATGTCAGAGGTGGAGCTCAGGCTGTGTCCTTTGGGCTCCTTGTGTTTTGTTTAAGCTTTAACTAGCTCTGAAAATAACCCTTTCTTSCTGCTGCACACCTTGGACTCACTTCAACCCAACAGCACGATTCAGAGGAAAGTCCATAAATTGGAAACCAAAACACACAAAAAATTTGTTTAACAATAGATTATTTGAGGATCTCTGGGTTCCAGGCCAAACTGGGGAGTTGGCTGTAGGAGCTTGACAGCTTCCAGTGTGACATTTGAGTGTACCTGCATGCAAGGACAGAAGGACAYTTGTCACCCAGCAATGCAGTGTTTGCCAGGGAGCCTGAGGATGGGTTTTACAGTGTAAAATCTGTACTTTTGCCACATGAGAGGTGCTAAAGAAACAGAGCAAGGAATTGATATGATCCAAAACCAGTGTGAAAGACAGCACTGGAACTTCCTGCTCTAAGCCCAYCATGACTCATGGGCTAAGAGCCCCTGTGGCCCCTGAGAGATGGTGTGGGGAGGCTTTGGTCTGGCTGCACAYCAGCTGTGTCAAATGGTCCCCAGTGCAGAACCAGTTTGCCATGAGCAGATCCCAAACCATTTCCATATGTTACTTTGAAGAAGAAAATGACTGGTTAGACTCAAAACAGAAGAACCAAGAGCCGAGGAAAAAATTGCCCTGAAGTGCCCAGATCTAAAAGATAGACCAGTCAGGGAATCCATCTCCATCTGCCAGACGTGCCTGCTGCAGCACAGCCCTCAGACTCCCAGCGTGGCTCCCAGCTGGAAGGCTTCCAGCACCCAAGGGGCAAAACTGGGAACATTTTACCTCCTGAGTCAGTGCTGGAGAGCTCAGCATGAGGGAGGCTGTGATTATCAGAGCTGTGTCACGCAGCTCTCCTGTGCTGGCTTAGCCACAGGCTCCGTGGCATTTGGAAAAAGCCAGGACACCCTGATTCTGRCATTGATAATGGTGCTCGTCCTGCCCCCCAGCCCAGTAAAATCTAACTCAGCGTTCTCTCTTCTGACATAAGGAGTTCTGTCCTACATCAGTGATCAACCTCCACCTCAACAGTGGGGCAAGAAGTCTCTAACCATCCTCCTGACTATATTTTTTGGGAACTCCTCACTCAAGTGTATCTGCACAAGCTGAAGGACTTCAAGGATTCTCCATCTTCTCAACTCTGAGTGAGAACAGGGTTTAATGCTGTGGAAAACAGTTCCAGGTCAGGGTTGGGTTGCCCCACAAGACCTGGGAGAGAGAAAACAGCCCCTGAAGCAGGGCAAAAAAAAGCCCCTGCAAGGCTCATGCCTCCAGAGAGAAGGAAGGAGACAGGAGAGCAGCAGGTCTGTGCCTCCTGCAGTTTGGATGTGAACAGGCTTTGTTCTGCATCATTWACTTTACACAACCTCTGGGCAGCCACGGCAGTTCATGAACTGCCCAAGCATCTGCAAATGTGATTCTTGACTTTGAGATCTCTCTGACGCAAACCAAATTAAAGTGCAATGAGATAGTGTGCAGCTACCGCCGACTTTTTTCCGGGAATGCCTGTGAAATACTCCCAGTGTTTCTTTTGTAACAGAATGTAAATACCCCCATTGAAAAGAATGCTCAGTTCTTGTGCTTTTAACATAATCTGGGGAGAGCTCCCTCTCCAARTATCAGCCGGGACAGAGTTCTCTCAAGATAAACGCA